TACCCTTCTGGTGGGCCACCTAAACCATGCCCCCCTTCCTGCTCTGGGCCTCCTGTGGGGACCTGAGTATGAGTCTGCCCAGGCCCCTGAGTTGACAAGACCACCATCTTTGTCCTGCTCCTTCCTTCCTTCCTTCCTTCCTTCCTTCTTTCCTTCCTTCCTTCCTAGCATTCACTTATGAGTGAGAACATGTGGTATTTCTCTTTCCTTGTCTGGCTTATTTCACTTAACATAATTTTCTCCATGCTTATCCATGTTGCTACAAATGGCAGAATTTCATTCTTTTTTATGGCTGAGTAGTATTCCATGGTGTATACATACCATATTTTCCTTATCCAGTCATCCATTGATGGATATTTAGGTTGGTTCCAACTCTTGGCTCCTGTAAATAGGACTGTGATAAACATGGGAGTGCAGGTATGCTTTTGACATGATTTCCAATCCTTTGGGCATATACCCAGCAGTGGGATTGCTGGATTGCATGTATGGTAGTTCTATCTGTAGTTGTTTGAGAAACCTCCATACTGTTTTTCATAGTGGCTGTGCTAATTTACAATTCCACCAGCAGTGTAGAAGAGTTCCCCTTTCCCTGCATCCTCACCAGCATTTGTTTTTCTTGGTCTTTTTAATAATGGCCAGTCTAACTGGGGTGAGATGCTATCTCAATGCAATTTTGATTTGCATTTCTCTGATGACTAGAGATACTGAGCATTTTTGCATGTACCTGTTGGCCATTTGTATGTCTTCCTTTGAGAAGTGTCTATTCATCTCCTTTGCCCATTTTTTAATTGGATTATTTGTTTTGAGAATGGATAGAGACCAAGGGGAAACTCATTCACTGAGAACCCACCATGCTGTCAGCCCTTTGCCATCCTAAAGTAGCCCATCCTGCCCTCCTGGGCCCATGACACCCCACCCACTGGGGGCAGAAGTGCATGAGCATTTCTCTAAAGACCCTCAGAAGAGGAGCTTCCATAACTCTCTTCCATCTGACCGTTGGTGACCTCTGGAACCTCAGGGTCAGGAAGATCGACTTTCCGCATTACAGTGTACAGTACACCGTCACATGCCTCATCTCATTTAGTTCTCCTAGCACTCGAGAGGTGGGTTATTCTTATCTCAATTTTGAAAATGGGTTGAACAGAGAGAGCTCAGTAGATTATTCAGTCAGTCAGCAGTGGAGCCTAGACATAAACCCCAGTTTTGTGGCTCAGAGTTCACAGCCCATGATGTCTCAGTGCCCTGGGTGTGTCTTTCCTCGTATCCTACCTAAAGCAGTCTTTCGGACAATATTGTCAGAACCCCCATTCTGTGTAAGCTGTAGGTTTGGGGCTCTGGGAGATGTACAGGGTGGTGGGACGTGGGTCCTTTTCTCAGGCGCCTGTTGGAAGGCATAGGATGTGTTTGCCTCCTCTCTCTTCCCCTGAAGACAGGGTTAGGGTGCTCCCTTCCCTCAGAGATTCTGGGGTGCAGCACAGGCAGTGGGGCCATGTGGAGCTGGGGAAAAGAAGCCCGGAAATCAGGTGCCCAGGGCTCCTGTCCCAGCTCTACAGCCATTGACCCAGGGAAATCACCAGGTTCCCTTATCTCAAAAATGAAACTTTATAGTTTCTGCTTCACAGATTTAGTGAGATCATGTGTGTGAAAGCATTTGGGAGCTGCATGCTCTCGACTGAATGTAAGGGGCTAGTGTTCTCATTCCTCCCCTTGTTGACCCACCTGATTAGCCACTTCAGACACTCGGTAGACATTTTTGTTGCTAATCATTATTGTACCCTGACAGTATGTCCTGTGACCAGGGCAGCTACAGTTAACATGCTTCAGCTGCTGCACAAAGCCTATGCCCTCCTTCCCATCAGTTAAAGATGTTACGCATGTGATGGTAGGTTAGGATACCAACCTCCTTTAAAAAAGGACATACAATGGGCAGGGCCCTAGAGGAAGAACCTGACGTCTACAGGTATATCCCAGGAGTACCTGGCCCAGTAATATATACTTTTTTCTCCTGCAGGTAGAGAAAAACGTTGCTAGGAACTTTCCTAAGATCTTGGTCATCACTCCAACAGGAAGGGAAGCAAGAGTTCAGACAGGGCAGAGTACCTTGCAGACACCTTTCCATAGCTCTGGCTGTCTTGGTCTCTCCAGGGAAGATGTGGCTTGAGAAATCATCAGGTTTGCTTTCATGAGGTCAGTTTTAGGGAGCTGAGCTGAAAGCACAGAATAAAAAAGAATGTCACATGTTGAGTGCTCATGAGGTTTCCTTTGGAGTACATTCATTGTTAAGGCTGTCACTTGCTCCCTTCCAAATCCAGCCTCCTGCTGTCTCTCTCACACACTGTACTGAAAGCACAGAATAAAAAAGAATGTCACATGTTGAGTGCTCATGAGGTTTCCTTTGGAGTGCATTCATTGTTAAGGCTGTCACTTGCTCCCTTCCAAATCCAGCCTCCTGCTGTCTCTCTCACACACTGTATAACTGAGATCAGCCTCTCTGGGATAGGTAACAAAAAACATCTTTCTCTTGCTGGTCCCTGACACACCCCTGCCAGTCTGGGAGCTATTACCTTTTCCAGATGTGGCATAAATGCAGGGCTAATCACCCCAGGGGTCTGCTGGGATCCTTCTCTAAGGGTCTCCAGGGCCTTTTATTTAATCCTCATGACAAACACTAACAATAGAGAAGAAAGTGGTAGATGCCAAGTAGAGGAGCTAAGATATTTGCCCAAAGACAAAGCAAACTGCTTGTAATTCCAGTTCAAAGTTTTTAGGTCTGCAAGAAACTGTAAAATGTCTCTTGTCCCTCCCCTGCCTTCCTACAGGAAGGATTTTGTACTTGCAATTCTCAGTACAGTTCTCCATTCCTTTGCTACTTCTCTGCAGATGTGGGCCCCTTACCGCCCATCCCATTTTCCCCATCACCACCTCCTGCCTCCAAGCCTACCTTCCTGAAAGATGTTCTTGACACTGTCATTAAACAGCTGCCAGCAACACCTGCTGGCATTCTCTGTTGCGAGGCTAACAACCCAACTTTAAAAAGAGAGAATACGAAACAAGAAAGACTATGGGAGGCGTAGTTGCAGGTTTTGGTTTTATTGGTTTTTTTGTTGTAGTTGTTTTCCAAATTACATTTTCTGCATTTCTCTATTGATTCTCTTATTTCTTTGCATTTTCCACTCTCTATTTATGACTCCCCTCTCCCAACGCCCACTTAGAAAATCAAGAAAAGAAAACCTGTTTCAGGATTGAATATGGTGTCAACATGTGGCTGGGAGTTTAATACCTCAAAGAAAAGTCACAGGGGCTATCTCCACCCACCCAAGCCTTCAACAGTGGAGAAAGAAAGAAAGAGAAGAAAAGAAAAATGGAAGAGCCAGCCTTTCCCTCCTCCCTTGTGCAGCCCTTCTTCCAACAAATGCTGGTGTAGGATGATGAAGACAGTGTTCTCAGAATTTGTGCCTCGTGATAACTCTCTCAGAAAGTCATTACCCAGTTGCTTTCCTGACACTGTGCTTGTCCCCTGGTGTTTCTCCTGATTATTCAAGGAGGGACTCATGTCATAAGGAGGCCTGCCACGTCTTTGCCTACTGCACCAATGGCTGCTAAGTCTTGCTAGATGCCTCCAGCATGCACCAGTCTGTCTTGCCTGCAGAGGTACAACCCACTCTGAACCCAAGAGCACCCTATCCTTACCTACACCTGTCCTTACGTGCCATTGGATCCCACTGTCCAGCCAATTTCCTCCTGCTGCCAGCTGGAGCTCAGATGCAAAGCCTAATATATTTTAAGGTGATAGGTCAAAAGTGATAGATTTTTTTTTTTTTTTTTTTGCTTCCAGACAGAGGCCAAGAAGGAATAAAGCAGAGGTTTCAGGAAACCAAGTTGTGTTTTTTTGGTTGCCAGGGGTTTGGGAGCTGGTGAGAGCTGGAGGGGTTGGGTTTCCAGAAGCAAGGTTCAAGGGAGTTTTGCAAAGGTCAACCCAAAGCTGTATTTGTGGGAATGATCAAACTGATGGCTCTGCTGGTTTTCTATTGTGTCACGGAAAAGGCTTCTAGGGAATTCTTGCCAAGTCTTTGGAAGAAAAGATATATATAGCTAAAGATGTGTATATTTATAGAGAGATATATGGATATATTTATGCCAGTCATGCCAATTAGCTCTGCAGGGAGGAGGAGGTGCCTCTGGGAGGAGAACAGGGCACTGGGATCTCCCTGCAGCTCTTTCAGGCCCTTGGGAGAAGAAAATAAGAGCATCATCAAAAGTACCTGGACCCTCGGTCTTAATCCCCAGGGGCCCCGCCTCCTGGACTGATGGAGGCCAAGCTTCCGAGCTGGGAGTTTTCCTTTGAACTACCCAGTTAGGTCCCTGCGGTCTAGAGGGTGCCCTGGGAGGAAATCTTTCTGGGGGTCAGTGATCCTGGAGGAACCTAATGTTCAGAGCAGAGTGTGGGAGGCAAGAATTCCATATGGGAAAGCTCGGGGGTGCTGAGGGGGCTGGGCGAAGCCTTGTGGCTTGATGTCTGAAAGAAGAGAAGGAACGGTCCCGAATTCATTTCTGCTTCCACCTGCGAGAAAAAAGCTTAATTGGACTGTGGGGCTTGGAGGGGCCCAGACCCTGATTTTAGAGGCACAGGGAGGCTTGCCTGTTTAGCTGAGACCATCTGTTGGCCTCCTTGGAGCCTGGAGGAACAGCTGAGGCTTACTGAGAAATTAAGCTAGAGATTCTTTCCAGAAATCTCCCTGGAACTGCACGGGATGTGTGTGTATGTGTGTGTGTGCGCGCATGTGCGCACATGTGCACGTCTGTGTATTTGTGCACATGCCCTTCCTAATTTCTCTCCAGCAAGGGACCTCATGGGGTGGATAAAACAGCCCAGGCCCATGGGTGAGCTGGGTGGGTGGCTTCGCTGGGTGTGCCCAGCATCTGGCTTTGCCATCTCTCATTCCATCTCCATCAAGTCAGCAACTTTCAAAATTGAGTGAAGCATAACCGCTTGCCTCATCCCCACCCCGTGTCCCCCGTCCCCATCCCTGCCTGCACCCTCCCCAGTGAAAGCCCCGGGGTGTGATGAGTAGGTCGGGCTAATGACACTACACCCGCTTTATCTAGGGCTGGCCTTGGCGCACTTCCCTTGACTCTTTCTAAGCAGGGGGTGGGATGGGAGGCAGAATATTATTGCAAAACCCGTTTGGCTGTAGCTGCCACCTGGATTCCTCCTCTGCTACAGGCAGCCTCCTCCTCCTCCCCAGGCAATTTGAACAGCTTCGTGCTGGCAGAGAGACTCCTGATCTAGAGAAAGCCTGCAGGTTGGCAGAACGCACACTCTTACACTTCCCTTCCCTCTCCCAATCTCAGATCACCCACGCCCACCCTCAGGGCCCGTCATCCCTCATTCCTAAGGAGCAAGCTGTCATGTGAATATTTGGAGAAATCAAGAATGAAAGTTATACTCAAGTAAGAACTCTCTAGAACAACAGTGTCCAAGATAACTTTCCGTGATGAAGAAAATGTTTTCTGTCTGTACTGTCTGATATAATAGCCACTAGCCACATGTGGCTATTGAGAGATTGAAATGTGTTAGTGTGCCTGAGGAGCTGAACTTCTGATTTTACTTAATTTCAATTAGTTTAAATGTAAATAGCTACATGTGGCTAGTGGCTACTGTGTACTGGAGGTGCAGTTCTAGAATATGAAGTAGAAATAATTTAGAAGTCTAGGACACCATTAAAGCCTAAAGGAATTTCCTGCATCTCTCAGTCCCAGTTGAAAAGGGGCAGTTTTATAAGGTGCCACTCTGCAAATTCTTTTCAATCTGCCCCAGGGTAAGCTGAATTCCCAGCTTAAAGCATCAGACAGGCCTCTGTCCCCGAGGCAAACGAAGCTGAGGGGTGGAGTAAGTGGGAGTGAGGCCCAGTGCTCCCCCCAGGTCCCCCTTGAGTCCCCAGCACACCTGGCCCAGGCCCCCACCACAGCGTGGGACCCCGGCGGGGGTGCCCTGCAGAGCAGTGCTGCAGCTGCAGACATCTGGTCTGCCTCCCATCTCTGCCCCTTCATTCCTTTTCTGTCAGCAACGGCTCTTGGCCGCTGATGGTCAGCAGAGTCAAAGCAGCCCTGCAGATCTCCCTTCCAGCTCCGCCTACTCCCCCATCCCCTGCTGAGGAAGGTTAAGGGGGAAAGAGAAGAAAGAGGCGGGAAGGCAGAGGGAGGGTGAAAATGAAATGTGAGTGACATTCAAGAAAGTGACTTCACAGGGCTCTCAGTGCCCTCCCTCTGGAGTCAGGGTGAACTTTGTCTGGTTTATAAGCCATCAATGACTTCTCCTCTGTCTGAGTTGCCAAACCCCTGTGACCCACACCCTCCCAACCTCCCATGCACACAATAACACATGTGCCTCCTCCCATACCATGGCAGGCCCATCTGTGACCTTGCTCCCCCCTAGAGAGGGTGGGAGCCCCAGAAGAGCTTTCCCTGTCTATCCCAGACCAAATACATTACACCTTCCTCTGTGACTTCATCCTTCCCCAGTTCCTCTGGGTAAACAGGAGGAAGAGAGGAAAAGCTCTCTTTCTGGGCTGGGAGGTTGGCAGACCCGGCTGGGTTCCACATGTGGAGAAAGCCCAGCCGGGGGAAGGTGTTTCTTTTTCTGATCCTGGCCCCTTGGCCTTTACTGGCTTCCCCAGCCAGGGACAGGACCACCCTGTGAAGTTGCATCCATTCTCCAGGCTGCCCAGCAGCCAGATTCTCCTGAGAGAGAGCCTGCACGGCCCATCCTAGGAATGAGCTAGAATCTAGGAGTATTGGATGCAAACTCCTCCACAGCTCAATTGAGCCAGAAGGCCGCTCTTTGAGCCTCTTTTCTTTCTCGTAACTACAGAGGAGAGCAGAAGAGCCCTCGTTTCGCTACTAAGCAGCAGAGTGATGGCAAATATGCCTCAGTTTCCCTATCGGCAAAATGAAGGGATTGCTCTGTATGGACCTTCCAAGAATATAATTTCCCAACGTCTCTGCTCTTGTGGGCAGAGAAAGGTGTTTTTAGTAGCTACAGAATTGCAATAAATCCTCTTGCAGTTTTTTGGTGGCTCCAATTTCCCAATGAAGAATGAAAAGTTCACTGCTAGTCTCTCCCGAACTAGTCTGGAGTTCCTGCCTCTCCTGTTTTAAGCTCTTGAGCTGAGCTGGGCTGAGATTGACTGAACAGTCTGTGGTGGCGGAGAGAGGAGAGGCACTAAGTAAATTATTAGCCTTTGTGTAGCAGCTAGAGCAGGGAGGAGTTGGAGTGAGGCAACAGAAAGAACTTCCCAAATTAGACAGGATCTCAGGGGAGTGCAGTATTTCCTTTCCTAGCAGAATTTCGGTATGAGAAAGTTGGAGGGGTATGTATGCATCTTGAATGTGATTATTCAGAGCATGATTTCCGAAGACACGCTCTTCTGTCTGTCGGTGCATACCACTTTCTGCTGCCTGTCCTGTCCCTGCTTTCACAGCCATCTCAGGCCTGGTCTGCAGATGGTGGGAAGAGGTGGGCCCTGGGAGGTGGGGTTTGCCAGAGAGCGGGGGTGAAATTGCCCTCCCAGCCCCTCCCTGACTTCTGACCTTTGCACCTTTCTTGCTAGTGATCCCTAAATTACTGAGCTGTCTAACCCTCTCTGGGGAGGAGGGAGGCAAACAGGGCTGACGGGAGGTGCAGCAGAGAAAGTATGAGGTGGAGGTCAGGGGTCATTTCACAGTATGTTTTGGCAAAGGAGGCCCATGGAGCAGCCAGTGGGATGGGGCTTTCATCCTCCAGAGCTTCCCTAACACGGAAAGCAAAAGCTGTCACTTGAGCAGTGATTTAGAGCATGTGCTCTGGGGAACCAGGGGCACCCCTCAGGGTCCAGCCACCCGAGGGAAAGATTAGATAACAGACACAGCTTTGCCCTGTGCCCACGCCTGCCCCTGCTCGTCCCAGCCTTGGGAGATGACAAAAGTGCCTGGGAAGGCAGCACTCTCCCTGGAGTGGGTTTTCTCAGAGCAAGGAAGGCTGTGGCTGGCTGGCACGGGCAAGGAAGTGGGTGGATGGGATGCTTGTTGGAGCCACAGCCACAAGGAGCTTCTTGGATGCTTCTGGTAGCTGTCAGCTTGTCCATGTCATCCAGAGAGCACCTGTGCCAGGCAAAAGAAGGACTGAAAGGAGGAAGAGGTCACAGACTTGGAGCCTGGAGGCTAGAAGTTTCCCACTGAGTCAGTATTGGGGAGGCTCAGAAGGCTGGAGTTTGGGGTTCCAGAGGAGCTAGCCACCAGCACCCCTCTCAAACCTGGGCAGAGGGGAGACACCAAAAACTTGAGCTGACCAGGGCCAACAGTATTTCCTCTTCTTTCCCCTGCTACCTGCATTCCCCTCATCTCAGCCCCCTTCCCCCCTCAGGTGTCTTCTGCCCCGGCTCCCCTTGTTTGCTTTGGAGTGGGGTCAGGGCCCCATACAATGAGCTGGGCTTCACTGGAGCAAAGCTTTCAAAGACCCGGGTGACGGTATCACATGGCCTGTCTCTCTGCTTTCTCCACCACTCACGAGCCATTTGGCCATGGGCTAGATATTTACCTACTGTGACTCTCAGTTTCCTCATCTGTAAAATGGGGATAATAAGCTCACCCTCCCATCTGGATGTGGATGTTGCATAGATTGAATGCCAAGTAGACGCAGTGTGCATACCACGGTGCCTGATACCGTGCCTGATCCTTAGGAAGGGCTCAGTGAGCTTAGTCAGCTCTTTTGTTTTAATTTCCCAGCTCTTTTCTCTGTTGGTGGCTCTTTAACACATAAATAACAGCAG